CGTTTGTTCACGGCACAGAATTCTACAATTTTTCTGTTAGTAGTGTTAGTGTAGAATTCTGTGGTTTAGGGTGAATGCAAAATTTGGTGAACGCGCACCGGGTGAGAATAGCCACAAGACTCGCCTGCACTATTCTCACTCCGGGTGAGAATAGAGGTGGCCCCATGGTAATGGTATGGTCTACTCTCTGCCTCCAACTGCCTGGGCTAGGAACCTGGTCAGACCTGGTCATTCATTGGGAGACAAGAAACTGGTTCTTTCACAGACTAGTGTATTATACAGGGATGTCCACCTAACGGCTACCCCCTTGAGAAGAAGGCCTTGGACGGTTGCTGTTAGGTGGACGTTCCACATGGAGCTGAGAACAGTACACCGGCTTCCGATTGGCTGACAAATTTATCAATGAAACGACGTCACGAGGACGAGGACAATAGCCACACACACACACACACTCACACCTTTTCCTAATTCCTAAATCCTTATTTCGAGCCCCCCCCACACACACACACACACTCACACACCCAACCCCCGCGTCACATTTTTCCTCCTTCTTCTGAACTTTCTCTTAGTAACTTGGCCCCTCAACTTTTACAGCCATCCCGGTGCCCCTTAATCTAGAGTCATTTAGACGTATGTGTATCTATTTTACAATGACTTGATTAACAAGGCATTAAAACAATGAATGTGTCCTATAGTTGATACAGGGAGAAACTAGTGAACTACTGCAGTTTTTATCTCTGTACTGGTCTTTGCTTGGCTCTGCTCTACAATATAAGATCACCAGCGGACACTCGCTCGCTCAGTGGTGACCTGGATCTAGATTTCCTACTGCATTCCTTTAGGCCTAAGGTCATAGTAATATTACCAAATTTGGTGTTTGATACGTGACTATACAGCCAATGAGAAGCCGGTGTAGTGTGCTCTCGTTTAAAGCTCCATGTGGGCGGTCCTCGTTGCTGCTATGGGGGCAAGAGGATGGTAAACTTTAAGGCTACAGTGAATGCTTTATTCTCAGCCCTGGTGAGAAAAGTATCCAGTTTATTCTCACCCCGGGTGAGAATAATTATATTGTTTCTTTCCTGGTCTGAGAATACAGTGGGTTTTATATTATTTCTCACCTGGGTGTTGAGAACAGGTGGGCCTACTAAACTGGATTTTAAAATAGGATTCCCTGATAAAAATTTTTGATTTTAAGAGAGTTTAGGCTGATGGTTACTGGAAGGACTTCCGTAACGAGAGACCACCCCCAACAAACACAATAGAAGAGACCTAGAACCCTGACCCTAACCCTCTACCCAAAACCCTAACCCTACCCCAAACCTAAACCTAAACCCTAACTCTACCCCTACCCAAACCATACCCCTCTGTTCTACTCTGTCTCATAGTGGTCACTCTTGGCGGAAGTCCTCACATGATTACATGACCTTAACCAATTGACCACGAGGCGGACGAATTAGGCTGCTCAATACAGACCTGCCACTCATCCCGATTTTTTGTCCCAAATTAAAGCATCCCGATTATCCCGATTTTCCCAATTTCGATCTCATGTATCCCGATTTTTTGTTGCAGTCTGCTGTTGCGCTAGATTTTTCTAAAAACTTACTCTTCCTTCTTCTGTATCGCGGGAAGCACCCACTGAACTTTTTGTCAAAAGAAATTCGGAGTCATTATTTTTCAAAATATCGATGCTGGATAATTTAAAAGTTGACTCGCCCCAAGTTGTGTTTGAACTTTGCTCGCACTCAGAATTCTCTGATGATAGCCTGATATAACTGTTACAATTGTGACATACAAATAATCGATAATGTTCGTAGTTCTGCTGTTACTTTCAAAACTAGTCTTGTCCGAGGTCTTGTAACCACGCGCTCACATCAAACATTCGTAATGAGTGACAGTCATTCTAACCCTTACACAACTAACTGCACTGACTAAAGTAACACTCGGCCATTGTCTCGCTTTGGTCTGAACACAATGAAGGAAGAGATTTGTTGTACGTTTGGTCAGTGTCGTTAAAGCCAAGTACGACTGTAGCTCGTCTGAGTGTGTGGGTGCCCATTGGGAAATCGGGTCGGTTTGCTAGCAAGATTGAGGGCGCAAAGGGACTATCGTGGCACAAGCTGATCATGCCCGACTCGCCGCCTCAAAAACAAGGCGACAGGTCGCGCAATCAACCCGACCCGACCCGCAATGGGCAACGGGTATGCCGAGCCCATCAGTAAAACGGTATCAATCGCACATTTGCATCATGTGACATGACTTCTGCGTGTGAGTTCTGCACAGTCCGTTGACGGGGTCAACTTAAGTTCCTGCACACTGGTTGAAGTCTTTTGGGACTTATTGGGGTGGGGGGAGGGGGCGGGGGGTAGACACTTGGACTAGGAGTGCGTGACGGATTTTAAGATGGATATATTGATAAAACACACACTCACACAAACAAACAAACAAACTCGCAAAGGGCATATTTATATATTTAAGGACATTCCTGAAAAAAAAGTGTAAGTCGGTGTGGCAGTTGCTGTTGGTCCCAATTTTTTTCACCAAATCCCGATTTTTTCCACCAAATCCCGACCCCCCCCCGAGATCCTGATTTTGAGATTTCATAGAGTGGCAGGTCTGTCAATAGCTCAGTTAGTTTTCGAAGCCTGCAAAACCTCAGGGCCGAGTCGTTTGGAATAGCAAAATTGCCAGGTTTTGTGGGCTTTGATAAATATAGACTATGGCGACTATCGCATTGCAGTGTTGTTATTTTTCAACCAATTACTCTAAAACTGGGTGATTTAGAGGATCAGGATGATTTTGCTGAAACCAGTGAGGAGGAAATTTCATATTCATAAGATCATGTCTATGTGATTTCTGTTGAATGTTGAATGGGGGCTCTCGTGGCCTAGAGGTTAAGGTGTTCGCCTCTTCAAAGGTCCCGGGTTCAAATCCGGGTAGTGACCGTAAAATTTTCGTCTCTAAAATTGTCTCCTATCACCTCCTTTCCTGCTCTCTAACGCTAACAGTGTTCTGTTCTTGTCGGCTTTCCTGCCTCACCTCCTTTGCCCCCTCCTCTGGGCCCGTGACTCTTTCTACAGCCTTTCTACTGCTAAAACTGCTATTCCTTGGCTCCCTCTTACTGCTATCTTCCAGCCACACCCCTGATCTTCTTGTAGGAAATATCTATGCCTAGCCTTCTCTGACAAGGACGAAACATCTCGGAGGTTCCATGTGCAAGCTGCGCTCGTTAAAGATCCTTTGGTGGTCCAAAATGGATAAAAGAGTAGGCTTCGGCCACCACCCGGGCAAAATTATCCCCTATGTCTGTCTTTCCGTTCTCTTTTATATTTTTGTCTGTCCATCATCTTATTCTGTCCTTGCACTAAAAGACCTCTCTCTGTTGGGGCGGCTTGTAACTTACTCTTTACTCAAGCAGTAGTCTGCATACAAAGCAGAAACTTTCACTCTGTGTATACACGCTTTGTCTGTTTTTGTCATGATGTGGGCCTATGTGAAACAAGTGTCATTAATTTATGAATGATGAATTTTTGTCTTTCTTCCCTACAGTACTGGGAGTTACAAGAGACTCAGAAAGGGTAGGTATTAAAAGATAAACTTGGATTTTAACTCTTTTATTATACCATGTTGATGTGGTTTGCTTTGCTCAAGTTGCAAACGAGCATTGCTAGTCTAGTATCTTCACACATACATGGACAAGTCAGAAGCATACCTTATTCGAAGTGGTTGATTGGCGGTTGCTCTGGTGTGGTTTGCTCCTTCTTTCCGATAAAAAATCTATCGTCTCTATCTCCCCTC